AAAACCAAGAAGTTCCTGCACAGCCAGTGCAAACAGTCACTCACAGAAATCACCACAGCAAAAGCCTGCATGTGTGTGTTCGTTCAAAGGACACACCACCTCAAAGCTTCTTCACGTGTGGCGCGATATAGCAGCATGTCCTTCATGGTAAATACCAGTGTGAGTCCTCTCCCTCATGCTGGGGTGGTTACTTGGTGCCAGACCCTGTGTAGCAATGTTAAATGAGAACAGGTTTCTACCTGTAAAACGTTTTGTAAAATCACTCCCTTTAAACTGTGGTGATTTCACACCTCTCTCTTTAACTGCCTTTTTCAAAGTTTATGTTAAATTTCAGCAATTTAACGGATATTCAGTTTTCCTTAAATTTAACATCTTTAGAATTCCCCCAGTCTAGCAGCTGTACCCCAAAACGGCTGGGTGAAAAGATTGCCTGGTATCTGAATGTTTGAATTTCACAATGAAGTGTTTTTAGTGCTAAAGCAGTAAGAACTGGACAATTTTTGTTCTGTCCCTGCCTGTCATTGATTTTTTATGTGACCTGGGCCAAGAAAAATTCCCGGTGCCTCAGCTTGCTTTAGCTGTAGCACGGGACGTACAACGCTGAGCTCCTCCACAAGTGTGTTGTGAGGCTCGGTGCATTGCTGTCTGTCACACACAGCTCCTCGGCTGGGAAACTCCAGAGTTGCAGAGTGTTAATTGCAGCTCTCTGCAAACGGCACCCAGAGGATGCCAGATTTAACACCCCTCTTGCTATTAACTAAAGGAACCTGCACGCTGGGATCGAGTGAGCTGCGGAGGTTTGCTGGGGGGATGCTGAGCTCTGAAATGGAGAGTTTACATTTTATAACCTATTTATTACCTTAAATTTCTGTGTTGGACTTTTGAGATGACTGCGTTTTTCTCTAGATGAACTTGGTCTTTTTTTCTGAATATAACACTGACTAAAATCCAATCAGGATGTTTTTCTTCAATTAATTATTCCCACTTGTCCTGCAAAAGAAACACCTATTTACAGATCGTTTCGTGTTAAAAAAGGCCCCAAGACCTACACAACAACTAAAAGCCTTTTTTTCCAGCTGCTGATGATGCCCCACGGCCTACTTTTGATTCCTTGCTCTCCAGGGATCTGGCTGGGTACATGCCTGTGGAAGGATACCTGAGAATCAACAGACGTGAACAATCCAGCCTTTCTTGGGACCACGTGCCTGGATGCAGAAAGGGAATTTGACACTATGATGACGTTGCTTCTGGGATGCAATGTTGCCATTTGTTGCGACGGAGGGAAGACCAGGACGCTCAATATGAGTGATCAACAGGCTTCGTCTTTATTGCTAAACAATACTACATTTATAATCGCTTTAATTAGCTCATGCATATTGCAAAAGGAAAGCTCATGATTGGTTGATATATTTGAAATCAATTTCTCCCCTGGGTCCTATCTGCGGTTACCTTCTCCCTTCTGCTGTACCTTATCTATCTGCAGGCATCCTGTTTGTTTGTAGACATCTGGAAAACAGGATGTTCTTCCCAAGGTCTCGTTTAGCTAGGTGGCCAATTAAACTAGCTGGGTGCTTTGCTTCCCAAGGTCTTGTCTAGCTAGGTGGCCTTAGCCATTCCTCCCCAATTCTCCCGTTTTTATTTTGCACAACATACGCTCGAGTGGTTGTTTTCAGAAAGAGAGTCTTAATACAAGAAAGGGTGCAACTTACACAAAGGAGTACTATTATTATTATGACAAGGATCATTATTCCTGTTTGTAAAAGGCTTTTGATTCATCCGCTTAACTCCATCCAATTTCCTAACGCGTCTAATCCAAAAAGTCCGGTATCCTGTTTGATTTTTTGGAAGTGTTGAACGAGGTCCTGAATTTCTTTGTGAATAGATT